GATAAACAAAACTATGGCAAGTTTTTATTTGTTCTTTTCTTTTTTGTCTGTTAAATATGTCAGCATACCGAAACCGCTTTCAAGAGTTCCATTGCTGCTGGAGCATTGCTTGAGTACTATTATAACCAAAGTAACATTAAATAAAGTCATAGTAAAAAAGAAAAAGAAAAAAGAAACTCCACCTTCTGTCAATTCTAAACTTTTAGATATCAAGACATAATCAAAATCATTCCTACCAAGGTCTTCAGATTAGGTAAATACAATGGGAGATGAGCAACAACAAAGGATCTGTTATAGTGTGTCATTGTTTATTTAAGAGAGAACTAAACCAATGTGTAGAAGCAGTGCGTGAAAAACTAAGTACGAGGTCCACACACAAAAGTGGTGCTGAGGATTATAGTTAAGCATCTCTTTGGTCTCATCTCTTCAAAGGACATTGTTCAAGAAGCCATGTGGTTTCATCAAATGCAAATTTGAGAACTTGAGCCCTGCAACCATGTTTTAGGTTTTTGGTTTTTGTAGAATGAAGAGACTTTCTCCTGGAGATCCCCCCCAAAAAATAATCCTTGCTTACCTTGCTTACTGAGGCCTATAGCGTCCAGGTTTTATTACAGTTTCTGAGTACCGCACTGTCTGGATTTCAGGTGGAATTAGTCAGACGTCAAGTCCTGGGACGATTAGCAGCCGTCTAGAATGTTTTTCACCCCTGAATAATCTTTCTCACTATAGAATGATGGGCTTCAAATTATTTGAAAATGACCTCGTAACCGTTCCCAGACTGAGCAGGAATTTCCTTTGCAAGATCGTCACTGATGTCTTTTCATCTTGACATTGTGTTAACACACACCTGGAGGCTCCATACCAGCAAACTGCCAAAACCTCTGTTTTATAGAGATGCTTAGATTTTTACGAAGATCAATAAATCAAGTGCGTTTGATTAGCAGCACCTGGCAGCTATTTTAAGTTTTGATTCCTGTGAAAGCAGTTAGGGCATGCTGAGTTTTTCACACGCTGCTTCTTGCATTTTGACCAAGTTTTTGTTAAATAAGTGATAACACAGAGTAAACGTCACGTTTTGTTGATTATCTGAGGTTATGCTTATCTAATTTTAGGACCAACTAAAGACCACACATTTAAATTTTATGCCCAAATGTGTAAAACCTTACAAGTTACAGTGAGGGGTGTCCTTTCCATTTACCATCAGAGTACATTATGCCTGCGTGACTTCGTTCTAACACTGCTGTAAAACTCAGCTATTCTGATTTTCACTTAAGAAAAGGTACACCAGGATGTAGAAATACTGATCCAGTACAGGTTTTTTCAGTTTGACTAATTCTCAAATGATCGTTGAAGTTGTCAAAACAGTACATCATAGTTGACAGGATTTTGTTACTCTTGCACAACTAAAAGCACATGAATCATTCTTAATGGCACATGTGTCTACAATTTGATTTTGTCTTTAAAAATATTTAAATAAAATCTTTTTTATAAGATAAATTGTTATATTCTCCAAAATTATATTAGAATTAGTTTGTTGCGTAAGTCGTGAGGTGCAGAATATTCCATCAAATCATAAAAAATTTGCCAAGCTGTACACAAACGACATGGATAAGGAGTGGTCATTGTAATGTTTCCAGTTTCATGCTCATATTACAGTTTTTTCTGAATGCTTAAACCCTAACTGTGATTCCTGTAGCACAATCTCTAAAACTATTCAGACTTATAGCAAAACCACTCACTGAGTTTGCAAAACTAAAAGCACAAAAACTGCTTTGCACTCAGTTTGCAATTTTGTAACACACACTTTGCAAAACTGTAGGCACAATTCACTGCACAACACTCAATTACCAAATTTGCAACACACTCCTAGCAAAAGTATACACATGTATGGCTATCATTAACACTAATTTGCCAACTGTCTGGCACACTTTCACATGTGAAAACTTTTTTAGATAATTAGTTCACTTTGCAATCAGCCTAAGCACTATAATACAGGTAAGCTGTGTGTGCGGAGTACAATGGAGGGAGCAGGAAGAGTGAGAAGTAGAGGAGGCCGAGGAAGAGGACGTGGAGGTGAAGAAGTAGGATGAAGAGGACGACAAGGACAAGGAGGAGCAAGAGGAAGACGAGGAGGGGGGAGAGGAAGGGTAGGAAGAGTAAGAAATAGAATTGCTGATGACATCAGAGCTACAATAGTGGACCATGTAATCAACCGTGGAATGACCCTGAGGGTAGCTGGCCAACGGGTCCAGCCTAACTCGAGCCGCTACACTGTAGCAAGCACCATAAGGACATCTTGAAATGAGAATCGGTGAGCACAGTCACTTCGCACAAAGATTTGTAGCACTGCCATATGCCAATGAGAAACACACCAATACCATTGATGTAAAAATACTGAAATTGTTACTTTACAGAATTGCTAGATGACCAGATGCTGGGGCAGAGGAAGCATGTTCACTGCAGACCAAGTAACCCATATAGTCATTATGGCGATTGCAAATAATCCTATACTTGGAAATAAACACTTGTGTTTGTTTTGATGTGTTTGAATAAACACCAGTACTTGAAGTTTGGATCCCTCTATGCTTATGGATCTATGACAGAAGTATGAGCTCAAACTGACATAGCCTACCTTGTGCACAGAGAAAGCAAAAGCCAGATGTGTTTTGTATTCATACCATCAGTGTGCAGTTGTGTGCTTAGTAGATGATGGCTTGTGTGTACTGTTTGATACGGAAACACCATTTTTACGAAGGTGTGAAGAGTTAATCTAGCTGTGTTTGCTTTTGCAAGAGAACTACAATGTTTTGATGATGGGGTGACAGGTTTTCTTATTTGTGTGAAGAGTTTTGCAAAATTAGCCAATAGTTACAAAAAATGTGCTTAAGCAATCAGAAAAAACTGTAATCTAGCTGTGTTTGCTTTTGCAAGAGAACTACAATGTTTTGATGATTGGGTGACAGGTTTTCTTATTTGTGTGAAGAGTTTTGCAAAATTAGCCAATAGTTACAAAAAATGTGCTTACGCAATCAGAAAAAACTGTAAAGCAGCTTTCTTGTACCAAGGGTATCCATGAAAAGATACAAAAAGAAGCATGATCAGCTGATCGGTAAGGTCATGACAGCATACGGCCTCACAGAAACACTGTATCTACACCCAAGTACACAAGGTGCACATATTTTGTATCAGAGCTGGAATGAATACTGTTCATGCTGTGTTGCTCCTTTTCTACAGGCTTTGCTTTCAACGGCGATTTTATTTTTCCACAACAGGAGTAAAGTCTGCTAAACTGATATGTTTGTGTTCCAGGTAAAACTACCATGAGGAGGGGTGGAATTTCCCACATCACCCACATGCCGTCCAGTTATTTCGCAGGTATAAACATCAGGTAAAACATATTTATTGAGCTTGACACGTACGCGCTCACCCAGTTAAATATTTTACAGGGACAATAAGGAGGAGGAAGGATTAACACATGTAGGAGTGTGGTTGATGAAAGAAAGATATATAGAAAGATGCACATGAATGAAGAGGATGGTTCTTCTTCTGTTAGAACGTAAGTGAGAGCATTATGTATGAGGTGGTGAGAATCTATGGGCAAACTTGCACAGCATGATGCCCTTACTACATACTGAACCCAGTTATGTGCCGTTTCAGCTCTCCCCTTTTTTTACTGACAGTTGAACTCGCATATCTTTCTGTTCTGTGTGAGTTTATGCAGTAAAAATGCAAATGTTCTTCTTATTATTACATTCAAACAATTTTTTTCTTTAAAAAAAGGGGGGGGGGCATGTGTTCTTGAAATCAGCATCTGAACACTATTCAGCTGGACATAGCAGGGAATCCTTAGAAAAAAGAGAGTCTGGTACAGCAAGCATTCAAAATGTCACACATGCCATTTTAAGTACAGTCCACTGATTCTGACAAATGGCAATAACTCACTCATTGACTCAGAAACTAGAGCGTGTTGATGAATAGATAAGAAGAATCGAAAATAATCTGGCATCAGATAGCCTCTTTCAGAATCACGCATGGATCTTGTATATCTGCGCATTATACAGAAACTGCTGATGCATCCATACATAAATAAAGATGATGTTGCAGCTGACCAACTAGATACTTATTTTACCCCTTTATAAGATTTGTCGATTAGGCCCATATAAAAGTAACGACATTATCATAAAAAACAATCTAAAGCCACTTGTCACCTGTATGTGAGGAAGCTCCGGGCTGCTTCGGGTACAGCAGTGAGAGTTTACTGGAAATAGCCTCGTTTACAATAGGAGCAGATGATGAAACACAACAGGTAATTCACATATATTCATATATAAATTATCTGAGGACTATTTAAATATATTATGTCGGTTAGTATTATCTTTTTTTTTTTCTTTTTTTTTTCTGGGTACCTAGAAAAATCATAATCAGAAACTGGATGAGGCGTGGCCACACGTGGTGCGGACGCCAAATTGCTGTGCAGGTATTCTTTCACACTATCTTTCCTCACTTTGACGGTACACCCCTTGCCTGTCCCTATTCATGAACCCCATTTACATTCAGCCCACAGACTCACGGTAAGTAAAAGGGATGGTGGAAAGAGAGGGTGGCGACAGAGGGTCTTTTCCAAGACCGGTGCGTCTTTGCCAGTTCGCGGCGTGCGAAGATCTCCATGACCTAGATTGACTGGTGAGTCGTTTTTAATTTGTCGGGAAGCTTACCGCATGGGTTTCATTGCGGCAGACAGACAGAGAGACTGGTCTTTATTCCGAACAACGTTTTAAAATTAAATTTGCGCGCACACTTCTCCGATCTGAGAAATATATAAGACATTACCTGCACAGGTACATAGTATGTATTATGCAAACTTTCTAGTGTTCAGAAGTGTTGTGTACAGAATGCAATAAGCTGCTGGAGTAAAGCGCTGGCAAATGTGAGCAAGCGCTACAGATCCAAGCGAGCACAAGATGCAGTGCAAATGTAACTACAGTGGTTCACACAACTTCTGACTACATATTATCACTACAGATGTGTGAACTTGGATTTATACAAACTGTTTATTCCATCAATCCAGAAGATGTTGAACACGAAATAGGCATGTGTTCAATAGGACGCATGGTCAAGCACTTCTGTCAGCATCCACCCAAACCTTCATGGACAGGTGTATAACTCGTTGATATCTAGGTTAATTTTGGAAGAATATTTACATGGAGACAACAGCAGGGTAATAGGATCAGATCTAATTTTGCATCATTTTAAATTAGTGTCCTGATAGATGTTTTAAAAACAACAAGCGCCTTATTCGTGTAAATCAGTGCGCAGGAAAGTGATTGAATATATAATTGTTTTCCCCTCCGGATTCAAAGGATGACAAAGGTTATGAACAAAGCCCCGTGGACCACACAGACTCAAGCTAAATCATTTCCCCTGTTGAGTCATCTTGAAATCATTGACTTAGCATCAGTTCTACGGTTTCATTAAGCCACCACAAACATAGATTTCTCCTTGTGTAGTGGCATGCACCTGACTCTTTTGTCTTGTTTTAGTTTGTGAGCACTCAGCTGATATAATGAAGTCTGAGTTTGTCTTTCCGGGGTTTATTGTTCAGTCTTTTTGTCAGCATATTCCCCTATCCCTTTATCCTCGGTTTCCCCTGTTGTTCCTCTGAGGAGCTTTGGTTGTCTGTTTTCTCCCCGCACCATTGTGAGTCATGCTTTAGTTTGTGTGTGTGTGTACTATATTGTAATCCTAGATTAGTTTTTGTGGATTTTACTGTTTTGTGCTGTTTCCTCAGTTATCTGCTACTGCGCTCCTTTGCCAGTATCTCTAATTTTTGAGTTTCACTTCCCCGTCCTGATTGTCTGATTGCTGTCACCTGTCTCTCCCGCATCAGCCTTCTTTTCTCATCATGTCATCCGTGTATTCCCCTGTGATTTCTGATTATATTTCTAGTATTTATTTGATTCCCTCTTTGGCAATTGTCAGGTTTGTTATTTGCTTATCTGTCAGACTTAACGTCAGCCAAAAATAATAATACACAGTCTATGATTGTGACACTTCACAGTGAAGAACACTGAAAACCAGCAAGATGAACGGAACAGTTGGGGCCACCCAACATTATTCCCATACTGTGTGAGAGACATGGGAAATATCAAATAATATCAAAGCATTTTAAACAGCACTTTTTCCAAGATGCGAGTAATAAAATGAAAAGGCAAGACTAACAGGAGATAGAAAAATATATAATTAAGGGGGCATTAAAATCACACATCAAATCTGATGAATGAAATATTCAAGCTGAAAACAAAATGATGTCAGTGGAAACCAAATGAAAATCAGTTTTAACATTTTTCAAGTGTCCTTGTTTTTGAGCAGTTCAAGATTGCACAACTGGCTGACCTATGTTTAAATCTATATGCGTCTTATTCATAACTTCTGCCAAAATTTGGTTCCTGGGTTGCGTTACTGTTGAACTGGGTTGCTGAGAGCTTATAAATCAGACTTAATAAAAATTGCATTATTAGCCTTTTTTCCTGGATATAAATCGAAATAGAAATGATGAAGGGCGCAGGACAAGCTTGATGGCATAACTAATAAAGGAAGAAGTGCACAAATCTTTGTCCAAAAAAGAAATAAAACCTACGTGAAAGATGAGCCAGCTCATAGACAGTGAGAGTGTGAAAGCAATAAGTGATAGTCTTTGTTTCTTTTTAATATTCTTCTTAATCTGTATCTAGTGGGGTTAAAAAAAATCTTTATAAACAATTACCTGAAAATTTCACCCCTCATCAGTTTTTTATTAATGGAGCATGCTCACATCATTCGTGTGCCTAATTACAGTTTACATTATAACAGTGTAAACGTTGGTTAAACAAATTGGAAAGGTGTGTCTGACTGATATCATTAAATCTTCCAAACAATACAGGTGGCAGTGTGTGCTGTGGATTTCTTGGGGTTTATCCACTATGAGAGGATTTCCTTGTACTCTGAAGTGGGGCTTAGTATAAGGTTTAGAGCAGCAATTAAAATACCATAAGATAAACAGCGATAGCTTCCAGTTACTATATTAGGCAGGGACGTGAAAAGGACAATGTTTTAACTCAGCCGTGACTTTCAGTGACCTTTATGTTTCTTTAGTTACCTTGTCACAAACTGATGCCATGGTTGGTCACATATTACGGTTATTGCTCAATATTTAGCTCATAACTTCCTGGTAAAGCAAGCGTCTGTGGAGTGAAACAAGCCTTCTTACATTTCCATGTCACAATTAGACCTGTGGACCTGTCCAAACAGGCTCTTGTTGGCAACTGCGTCCTAATGCTGATTGCACTGTGCTATTTACTTTTACCGAATAATTAAGAATGATAAGTAATTTTTAGGTTTCATTTTTACTGCTCAAAGTTTATTGTGCCCTCACCTTGAACGTGTTTGTCATCTGGTACCTGTTTGTAAAAACAAGATGAACAATTCAGGTGAAGAGATATTTGGCAAAACTCCAGGGATCTAGTTCAACAAGGAAAAGTTGGCTGTGCACAATAGAAACCTTTATTGTTCAGCATTTCAGTGGGTGACATTGTGTGTAAATTCCCATGTCTTTCAAGGAAGGGGACCAAAGCCTGACACAACTGTAGAATGATAAGCCCCAACACGTTGACAACAATCTTGCTGTGACCCGTTCACAGTTTACTTCATGTCAATGGAAAAGTGTCTGGCAATCGAAACCATTTTCATTTCTGTCATAGTTTATGTCGTTTTCTTTTTCATTCTTTCCATTTGTAAACTATTTGTCGTCTTCACTTTATTTCCTCCACCCGCTCTCTGCGCATGGCTGTGCCTGTCACTGTGTACAATGGTCTGACTTCACTCTCAGGCTGGTCTGTGCACCACTTTCAATACCCCGTGGTGTTGGCCATTGTAAATGCAGCCAGTTGCTATTTTAGACACAGGCTCTATTGAGGGGTGGGAGTAGGGGGTGGTGGAGGGTGGGGGGTTATTGAGCAGGGATTGCCTTAATACCCCAAAGAAAGTTTGCCCATCACCCCCTCATTTGCTTTCTGTCACAGTCGTCTTTTTCTTTCCCCTCCAGCACACAGGATTGGTGAGATCAATCAGCCCAAACTTCGTCACTGCATCCAGAGAAAAGCATTAGCTTCTTCAGTGTCCACACAGCACAAAACCAGATCTGCATTTCCTACGCTTGTGGATGAGAAGGAGAAATGTTGTCTCAAGTCTGTTTGTGCTGCCTGTTCTTCAGCAGGGGCTTTTATAGCTGCCGCTGGACGGAGTCAAGTAGTCAAAGGAGAAAGGTAGTTTTAATATCTGTTTTCTTCTTATGATAAGTCAGTTTTTCTTTATCTCTCTACAGGAGTGTGTAATGTTTAAACAACCATGTTTTATTTGATTTTTTTAGGGTTTTTTGTTTGATTTATTTCCATTCAGCATAACCTTTATAAATCCCAGTAATCCGGGATTAAAATTTTTGCCTGACTGAAATCCGAAATATAAAATGCTGCTTTATGAACTGTTGCTTTGTGAACCTGATACTTTTATTGCAAAACAGTCATTGACAAATTGTTAGGAAATATAAACACAATAACCGACGTGGTGATTGCATTAAAAAAAAATTCATTTATGTGCCAAGAGAAACAAACAAACTCACAGGCCCTAACAAGCTATGTACTTATATGAAAGGGAATAGGAGGATGCCGGAGCTCTGTAAATCTGTGAGGGAAATGACACTTGAGGTGTGCTGTTGGTGGCGATGGTGGTGGTTGGGAGGCGGTGGTGGGGGCGCTGGGGTTGTTTGCGCTGAGTTCTCACGACACAGTGCGGGCAAAGCACTCAACCAATTATGAAAAAATGTTGGATTTGTTCCATTGGTCTCACTTTGAGCTTCTATTGGAATTTGTGCACACATCGACACGCACGGGGATAGCTCTCTGGACAACTACACAATTTTTTTTTAAGGCTTCAAAAATGAAAACCAGTAATCAATTTTCCTCCTTTTCATTTCAGTGCAGATGGTTGTCGCTCTTAGTTGTCACTTTGATGTCTCTGCTTTCCCTGTGCTGGTTGTATATTTGTTTTGCCATCTCTAATGACCAACAGAATGTTAATGAGTGAGTGATCACACACACACACACACACACACACACACACTGAATATTTATTTATTTTTGTTGATGTCCTTCATTCTTTTAACTATGTGCTTCACCCTTATCAGGGTAATATTCAGGACACTGAAGACATGGCTAAACTACTTCCTGGTAGTGGTGATCATTTCTGCAGTGCTGGCCAGCTACTGTATCCTGCTGCTGGTAAGAATACAGTTTTGTCCGTTTACCACACAGGGGAACCAAATCTTGCTCCACATTCAAAGATCATTAAACCTAAGAATGAGAAGCCGCCATTTTTAAAATGTTCTCCGATGATTACAGCTCTTTGCCTTGATCCAAGTTGCCTTAGCGGAGCAACTCCACTTACACTGGCTCCATAAGGTAAGCATGCAAACATTTACCTGTCCAGTCTATAGTTTTATTAAAATCGTCTAATCTTATATTTGCTTTCTGCTTTTTTCCCCCCTTTTTCCTGCACAGATCATTTTCTGTTTTTGTGTAATATTCATCACAGCTTTGGCTTCAGGAGTAAGCATAAAGGGGAGGGAAGAATGGCCAACAGTTCTTACTCTACTCCAGGTAGAGTTAGAGTACAGAAACTTTTTAGTTTTTTTTTTTTTAATGGCTCTAAGTGGTGTGAGAATATCACATGTGTTTGATGTCTGTGTCAACCTCTTGGCAGGCCACGGCTCCCTTCCTGCAGTTTGGTGCTGTTGGAGCGTTGACTCTGCTAAGCCCGTTTGTCTTTCATCGCTTCCACTTGGCCAAAACACGTATGTGTCAGACCTAGTTTCGGCATACACACAGACACGATTCAAAGGCAATTACATCATCCTTTTATATACACACTATTGTATCAAACCTAATTACAGGGCTAACACTGGAAACAAATGTACTGGTGAACTTTGAAGCTGAGGTTCATCTGGCAGTCACTGGAAAACTGATTCTGCATGATGAGCATTAGTTCAATACACAAGAAAGATATACAAATGTATAAATATACATTTATAAATCTGTATATTTAAATATAATAAAAGTCAATTCCTGCAGGGGGGAAATAAATAAAAAGGGCTTCTTTACAAATTCACGCTTGGAGCATTTTAAATATTTAAAGATTATTGTCTGACTTGTGTTTATTCCAGGATCTAAGATGGTCATTGCAGGGATGTTTCTAGTGGTCTCAGCAGCCATCTTCCTGTGTCCCCTGCTCATCCACTCTCCTTGTCTAATAGAAGTGCAGGAACTACCTGAAAAACCTAAACTTATCGGCCACAGAGGCGCGCCGATGGTGAGCGTCTTGTTTTACTTGGCACCACCCTGCAAATAAACATAATTAAACAGTGGTGACATTACACCTTTGGATAGAGCTGCTATTGTTGACAGATTGCAGTCATGTTCAAGTTTTTCAGTTGATTAAAACAAGTTTAAAGAACGTTTAAAAACGCAGTTCAGTTCTTTGAGAAATATTTAATGCTAATATTATAAGTACAATCCATTTTCATATATTGTCAAATATAAAAAAAGTAGACTGTCCCTGGCTCAGGTGTGAGCAAAGGTCCAGTCATGTGACGTCCTCATATGCCACGCTACTGTGCCCTTGTTAGTTTGCTTTGCTGCTGGGTCAATAATAAGCTCCATTTAACACTGCATACGGGGGTTGTCTGTGCTCACACCGCTTTGGGGTA